TCATCCCCTCATTTGCTCAGTGGTGGTGATGGTGACCAGGCCCAAGTAGATCATTCCCACAACTGGATATTGTTCTCCCTTCCCTCCCTCCTTCTAACAGGCCAAAGACTAGGATGAATCAGCAGGTGAATTATTAAGAAAGAGCAGCAGCAGTGGCATTATCTGCCAGAGTGTAGCTGCCTCCTTGCATTTACCGGCTTCCCTTAGCAGTGTTTCTCAACCTTGACCATTTTAAGGCATGTGGACTTCAACTCCCAGAATTCCACAGCCAGCATTGCTGGCTGTGGAATTCTGGGAGTTGAAGTCCACATGCCTTAAAATGGTCAAGGTTGAGAAACACTGCCTTAGGGTCACTTGGGCAGAAACACAAGGGAGAATTCAGGGTAGCCAGATAGGGAACTGCCCTTCTGCAAGGAACCTTCTCCTGTCCAAAAGGAGAGGCCAAAGCCATAAGGAGGTATGGATATGTTTTTGCAACCCCTTCAGGAAGCACCTGGGCCTAATCCTTCCTGCTGTGCTGCCTATATCTTGCTACACATTTCCCTCATTTTTCTAGTCTGAGAAAGTAGAAAGGAAGCAGAAAAAGTGAGAGGGAGAGAGGGAATAGAAGAGATTGCCATTTACAGTGCTTTTTCTCCCGTTTATTGGCTAACACTTTAAAGCAGGGGTAGGCAACCTTGGCTCTTTTATGGCTCGTGGACTTCAACTCCCAGAATTCCTGAGCCAGCCATGCTGAGGGGAAAGAGAGAGGTTTCCAAGCTGAGCCATGCTGGCTCAGGAATTCTGGGAGTTGAAGTCCATGAGTCACAAAAGAACCAAGGTTGCCTACCCCTGCTTTAAAGCAATAGTTATTTCATTATTAAGAACCCTTAACTGTTCAGTACATAAAAGTAGCTCTAAAATACTATTCCAGTACTGTTGCAAGTTTTTCATTTTAACAGTTGAAGCAAACAAGGAACAGGACTCATGTGCTTACACAAACAAACACACACACAGCCCTTTCCTCTGAACCAAATTGTCTGAACTGGGGCTTGCTAGAGTATTTTTTAATACTCTTTGTTTGGAACCCAGAGTTCAAACCTTTGAAATAAGGGAAGCTGCAGTCCAACCCATCTGGAAGGTAACCAGAGTTCCTTTCCACAGCTTTGCCTCTCTCCCAAACTCTTATTAGAACAAGTTCCAGATGTTACTTTAGAAGCAGGTGCTTGGGCACATGTTGCGCAACCCAAAACTGTGAATTCTGCTTTTTCATAAAGGAGTCCAGTACAATTCAAAGGGTGTGACTGAGGATGGAGTTCTACGCTGTTGCTTTCCTATTTAGATAAGGCGGCACTAGTTCTTGTCCTATATCAAACTGGCCTACATCATACCGAGGATAAAAATACTGTAAAGCCAAACTGATCTTAACCTTCCCGTAGCGTGGGCGCACAAAGTTATGGCGTTCTCAGCCTTATGTTTCATGAGAAGTTCTAGTTGTGGTTAAGTAATTGAGGCACTCCTTTTATAGTTTAGTTTCAAGTAACCCAGAGGTTGCAGCTGAAGAGTAGAGGGGCTGTAAAACTGATAAGGACACCTGCCTGACCCAATGAGGAGGAACGCTGCCAGTCCATGTTGGTAATACTGAATAAGATGGGAGAACATTCTGAATTAATAAAAGGCAGCTTTCTGGATTCCTCTCCATTTGTCCCCTATGCACAAAATACACAGTAAAGCTAGTAAGAGATGTGAATCGTCATCATTTGTAGAAGTAAGGCTTGTGTTCAAATATTTGGCAAAACCTTTAGAAATAGATTGATTAATGCACGTCTGAGTCACGTGACCAACAACTGACCAAGAGGGATACTTCCTGCATCTCTAACGTGTCCCAAAATGTTAATTTTTAAGGAAAAAATTACTAAGGTAATTTTAGTATGCTTGCTTGCAGGCTTCCTATTAATTTCCCCTTTAATAATAAAAAATATTATTTGGAGTAAGAACACTTATATTGTGTTGCAATGCAATACAACATACTTAGAAGGAGGTCGCTTCTGAATTAAGGAAGGGTCTTTGTTTCCCAAAACAGAAGGTTTGCAACGCAAAAGCTTAAGTTACTTTTAATTTACAACAGGCATAAATACATTGATGCTACTGTTTAACATGCGGACAACAAGGATAGGGATGGGAGAGGCAGAAGGGGAAGTATCGCTCAAAGAAGCAAGAATGTTCATTGTGTTTTATCAAAATTCTATACTTAAAAGTAAAGCTAGATTTATTATAGCTCGTTAGAATGGTAGCGAAAGGTATTACTTTTAATGGCACATTACTTTATAGTCATAATCCCTATCTACTTTTTAAAATCCTACCATCCATACAGCATTATTTAATTTCCATTTAAGAACAAAAATACTGGATCCTAAAAGGAGGCTGACTTTTTAGAAAGCTAAAAATTCTAAATTATGCAATTACCTAGTAAAACATACTGAGTTCAGCACTTAAATTATAACTATATTATTTACAAAACAATTCATTAATATTTAGGAGACTGATTATTCAAAACTGGCTCTAAGCAAAATCATTTTTTTTAAATCCAAAGACTTAACTTTAAAAATCAACGGTGTAATAGAAGTACACACACATTAAAATTCAGCATGTTGCTGGTTCACATCTATTCCATGAAAGCATATTGCAAAACAAACAAACAAAAAACAAAAAAAAACCACCCAACAGCTGATACTAACGTTTTGATGCGTATTTTGGAGATGATCACCTTAAACTACATCGTGCTAAACCTGAAACATTTCCATTGCAGCCAACAAACCAAATCCAAAATACGTAAGGAACATTGATCAAATGCAGTTTGGTTTTATATGCATTCTATCAAATTGTAAGATTTTATAATGCCTGGGGTTGGCAAAACAGTGAACAGAATTTGCAATCGGTCACAATACAATCTTACTATTGAAGATATAAGGAGCAGTAGAGTGAAAAGGGCCAACACGCTACTCTCAATCCATTTGATCAGTGAGATTCAAAAAGACTGTGCAATCAATCCACACTGCAGCCTGATAACAAATCAACAGGACCACTCTTGTTATATTCTGAAATGGATAAAAAGAGTGATCTGGTTTTCATACCATCTTGTGTTTTTCATGGAATGCTTAAAAAAGCAATATAAAAATGAGAAATAAATCAAGGAATGTAGGGGGGAAAAGACTGGTCCATTAATGCTCAAATTCAGTAGTTAATAAGGGATGGTCATATGAGACACCTTATCCAACTATACCTTAATGCAGGGGTGTCAAACTCAATTTTACTGAGGGCCGCATCAGCATTGCGGTTGCCCTGGGGGGGTGGGTGTGGGTGGCCAGAGTGGGTGCAGCCTACTGGGTGGGCGTGGATGGAGTGGGTGTGGCCTACTGGGTGGGTGTGACCAGTTCTACATCATTCGCATCAAGGGTGCCTGTAGGGGCCTGGGCAGGAGTGGGACAGATCTGAGGGTCTCTGGCAGAAGGGGGTGGGACCGGGGCAAGTGCCAAGGCATGGTCCACTGGGGCAGGTGCCAAGATGGCCACCACAAAATTGTACATTGGCTCCTGGCTGGCCTGGGCCAAGGCCAAGGCAGCGGGGGCCGTTCCCTCACTGCTTCCAGGATGGCTTTGTGGGCCACATGAAACGACTTCGCAGGCCACATCCGGCCCCTGGGCCTTGTGTTTGACATGTCTGCCTTAATGGAATAGCTCTTGAAAATTTTATTAGCTCCAACAGCACATGATCTGTCTTAAGAAATAAAAACTGTCTCCTTAGCAGCCAGCATGCTCTTATTTTGAGAGATTGTGTTTATCAATCTATCCATACATCCCCTAAGGCCAGAGGTAGAACATTGTAATTAACCAGGAAGGACTTTGGGACTAGAACCGAAAATAAAATGGGGGGGGGGGGAGAAAAAAATGCAATATCATGGGCGAATTTTGTTTGAAAGCTGCCAATATTCAAAATCAGGAAAAGCTCAGTGTGTCACTGAAGCCGCCAAAAGGAACCTTAAGGCACTCGTGTTAACTGTTGGGACTAAAGAGGTGCCACACTCGGAACCTCTGAAGGAAAAAGAAATGTTCCCCCTCTTGGCTTACCAAACATTTTTCTCTCTCCCCAAAAAGCTGAGTGCTCCTTTATCTTTTCAGGAAAAATCTCTGCTACTCCCAAACCAAGAAAGCTCTTACAATAGAGCTAAATGAGCTTGCTAACAGCATGAATTCACATGAACAATGGCAGAATTTTGTAACATTGCAATGGCGTTTTTGTAAAAGTGCTGTTCTTATAAATGCAATTACATAATGCAAAAATAAAAACAGAAATTGTCTAACATAAAAATTGCCAATGCATTCATTTATGGGCTTATTCCAAATCTATGATGTTACCATGATGTAAATCTGTTGAACTAAAAAGCATTGTATGATATATAGTAAGTTTTAGTAGTGCCAAAAATGTCTCTTCACAACAGGAAAGGCAGACAATAACTGTTCACTTCTGTTGTTTTAAAACGCAAAAGGAAAAATAATATTTTTTTACTTTCCTGGTATGAATTTGGAATTAATCGTTATACTTTGTGAAATGGGCTGGGGTTAAAATAATCGTATAATGTTTCTACGATGAGAGATATATATATTTTTCTGAAGTTGTATTTTCTGACTTCCTCAAACCAGTGAGATACATACAATCTCTGGATGTTGCCCTGTGCTATACAGAGATAATTCATTTCAAAATTCTAAAAACAGAAAATATTTTTAGGTGACTGCTACATACTACAAACCAATTACTAATCCTAAGCACTGAAATATAATTATAGACAAATGATTTTTTTTTAAAAAAAAACACCTAAACCAACCAAAATTCCAAGAATGCTGGAGTTATTTTCATATAGATATTGCTGTATGAAATATTCATGTGCCAAAATAGTATTATCATCTTATCAAGTAAAATAAGCAGTACCTAAAACTCAGGTGAATTCCAGACAGGGGTAGATTCCCTTCTAGAAAATTTAATTCATGGATTGGGTAACTGCATATTCCTCCAGGATACAATAATTACATCCTTGTGCATAGAAAGTTTCTTTTCTGAGATTATTCTTTTTTTGCTGAGGTCTTATAGTAAGCTTTGTTGCAGCAGTCTATTAAATACGCCACTATTGTAAACTTTACAATTGGATCTGAAATGGCATAAAGTTAAGTATAGGAGCTTATCTCAAGGCCACACTGTTGCACCACTGGAACAGTTTACTTGGGTACAATGAAAACACTGGAACTGTTGACTCTGCAGTTCAACCTCTATAGCTGCCATAATGGTTTAAGGACACAACCTAGTCCCAACTTAATATTCTTAAGTCAATAGAGGTGCAATGAGATCAACTCACTTTCTTGGAGCTGGGAAGTCACACCAAAGGCATTTTATTAGATCTGTTTTTCCAGCCTTTGCCACACCACTGTATCTGCTGGCACTGTTTACAGAAGTAATTCTGAGATATATGGATATTTTTTTTACTGTCACCTTTTGAAACTGCTGAAAGTAATGTCTGGTTTATACCGCTGGTAGTTACACACACGTGCTTGATTGTTTAATTCATTAAATCAATTGTACAAAACCGTTGCTGATGTGTTTACGTTTAATGTTTGGAAATTTAACACTGATGCCTGAATTAAGTATTTCAACATGCTGTAACTTACTTGCATTGAAACACAATACCTTGCATCTAAGATCCTTTCTTCATTCATGGCTACAATCAGTTTTGGAGTTGATTGGAAATCTAAAGGAACTCTGAGCACAAGGCTATGTCAAACCTTGTGCAATGACATGCAATCCAATTGCTTAAGAATAGTTTTGAAGCAAAACAGGATTAGTATTGAAGGGTCTAGACAGTTAAGATTATGTCTTTGAGTTTAAGACATATGCTGAGTATTAAATGCCTATTACGGCATTCCCCAGCTTGATGCCCTTTATTTATGTATCACAACCAGCATACTTAACCGCTATACCAGCTGAGAAATTAGAAGGGGTACCAAGTTGGAGAATGTTGATGAAATGGATTAGAGATTCAACTCCGCTACCAAGTGCTTCTTATAGGAGCACCCAGATGTCAACAATGAGATAGTTTTATCCTTCTGTTAAAGACATTTATAGAAAGACTGCAGCCCTTCCGCTCTTCCAGTTGATATAAAAACAATTATGTAATAATGCCAGAAAGGTAGAGAACAATTCAGTATTGTGGTGCTTTGAGCTTCAGCTGAAATTTGGCAATCCAAGGAGGGCACCAACTGCTCCAAAGTACCCCTGCATTTAAAAGAAGATTTTGCACAATTCAGTTTTTGGTGACACGTTACATTTGGTAATTTTGAAATAATATATAGAAGTATGGGTCAAAATCTTTTTTTCCTTTTCCTTGTATAAATAATTTGGGACAGTTGTGACTTCTCTATTCTCTGCACACTATTTTTTCTGTCAAGATTACAAATATTAAGTCTTAAAAATATCTTAATTAACCTGCCTGATTTAAAAAACTGTATGAGAGCACCAACAAACTTCCCTTTAGAACTCTTCTGTATAGTTCTATGGCTACTTTCATCTTTTTTTTCCTACCAGAGATAATTTCTTAAGGAAAGAAAAATAAAAAAATGCTCATGACTTCCTTGATGGGCTATGCAAGGAATTCTGTCTGGAAACCTCCTTCCTGTCAATTCTGAATTCTTTCCAGCCTGTTTGGATATAGTTTAGAGACTATCATATGGTGACTGAGCTTAGTTTACTGCTAGCTTCTCTATCAATTTAAGAAATTGCACATAAGACTATGTGCCAATCTAATCTGTGCGCACTATTTCACTATGTGTTGTGTTTTACAGAGCTTATAAGGTTGCATCCACTCTGTTTTCGTTTTGAAAGAAGTCACTAGAAGTCTTTTCTTTTCAACCTGTATTTTTCCAAGCAACTGAAACATTTGAATATAAGCCAATCACTTTGAATACTATTAAGGTTATCATTCTGGACGTCCTTCAAAACCTGGTAGTGTCACCAGGGCCTCCAGGGAATTGGAGACATTCTAAATGGTTCTGTGGTGGTGGTGAATATTTTTAATCTGGGGTCTGCATATTTTAAAATGCTAATAATATTTTCATTTTTAATAATGATGTTTTATGTTTTTTTGGCATCTGTTTTTATGTATTTGTTGCGTTATTCGATTGTTGCACATTGCCCAGAGTTGCTTTTTGAGAGAAGGGCGAGCATAAAAGGGTGATAAATAAATAAATGGGTTTAACTATGACTGGGTTGCATGGCCCCCAAAAGCTAATATAGTACAGTGGTGCGGGTTTTGGATTGGCACTTGGGAGATCCAGATCCTAGGCTCACTGGTTAACTTTGGATCAGTCACTTGGCTCAATTTCTCTTAAATGGCTGTTGTTGTGTGTGTGTGGGGGGGGAGAAATTGGAGGGTGTGAGACGTGAGCTCCTGAAGAAAAGATGGGAAATAAATCTATCAAATAAACAAATATAGGTTCCCAAACATATTGCTAACAAAGAAGCTTGCTAAAGCTTTGGAATGAACCCTACTGTTAAATTCAGAAGTGTCTTTCCCCCAATAATAGTAATGCATAAAATCCAGCATTTAAATTTGTCTCTGATAATTGAAGTACAAACACATCATTTACGCATACTGTATATTTATATCAAATCAAGAATAAAAATAACTATGGAATGCTGAACATTGATATGTAGGGAAAGATATGTAAAGGATATGACTGACACATACATACCTCATGTTCAAGGAACAAAGCTTTCAGCTGGCCTTTGGACCAGTAATCCAGTGCATATGCCAAAAGCTTCATTGATAAAGTATTCACACGTAGAAAGTTACCAACAAAGACAACACGGTTTATTTTCTAAAGGGAAAAAAAGCAATAGATATATTTCTATTCTTGATTATAATCAAAAGCGATTCAAGTTTTCTCTGTGAAATGGGAAAAAAATTAAATTACAATTTTCAGCGGCCATTCTCTCTGTATTTATCCCTAGATAAATGTGTATAAAAGCACAATCCCAGTATTTATGTAAGTTACATTCAGTAGAATTATTTTATTTTACATACTAGAATTATGTACTGCCCTTTGTCAGGTGTTGTTCCCAGACAGCCTACATTTTATTTAACTGTACTAATTTACCAATTTATACACATAAAACACCTATATAAAGCACTATGCAGACCTGTCAATGAGTTGGACACAGACATTTTCTTATTTGAATAAAAGCAATATTTTCCTTCTCAGAAGTCTTCTGATTCAGTGGAGAGAAATTGAGATTTTTGCCTATTCTCCATCTCCCTATAGTCCCAGACCAGATCCTCCCCTCTTCTAGAAGTGCTCCCAAATCTCCACAGTAGATCTGCAGTTATATAATGGGTTGCAGGGAAGCTGAACCATGTAATCTTTTGGCACTTTAATATACTCTCTGACTAGAACTCAGCTTAGGGAATGCTGCTCTTGATAAAAATACAGTTTGGATCCAATTTGAATCAGTATGAATATGACAAAAATGCTGCTTCCTACTTAAATTGTTCTGGAATTTGTCCAGAAAAAGAGATCTGATTGTATTTCCAGGCAAGTTTATCTGATATCCAGATTTCATGCTTTCTTCACACAGCAAACATTTTAATTTGCTCAGGCCTCTGAGTAATGCATTGAGTCATTTTTAATTTGAAATTGTTTTATAAATGTTAGTTGCATTTTATTAAATGTTAACTATGCCAAAAATGGGAGATTAAAGTAAACTTTGGGCAATGACAACAGATGCTTTTCACATATCCCTATAATCTTAATTCTGCATGTATAAAAATACTATGCATCATTCTTCAAATTCTTATGTATTAAGTGTAATACAATTCAACCACTGTTTACAGTGAAGCAGTACTTAATGTCTTCATAGCCCTGTACAATGCTGCTTGATCCATATGCAACAAGGCAGCACTGTAAAGAAGCCAAAGACAGCAAGAAATATTCCCAAGCAACTAATTCTTTCTCCTATTGGGACACAATTGGTTATGTTAAAGTTTTCTATGCATAAAGAACAGATGCAGAAATTCAGAAAGCAGCAAACAAAGAATTGTGTTCACTACACTTCCTGAAGAAATGTACACTGGATAAAAAATATTGATTTACATTACAGGACTTATATGGCTATCTATCACATACAATGACTCTAGGTGGCTCACAGGAATATATAAAACATAGTTTAAAACAAAGGTACCTTTCTCCCCAAGCACTAGACCAAACATCATAATTAATATATAGTTGAATGGACTATTGCAATAAGCTGTACAAGGGGCTGCCCTTGAAAACCATTTGGAAGCTACAACAGTCCAGAGTGAGATGGAACAGGCAATGATGGCATGCTAACATCACTGCTCTACAAGATGCACAGGCTATCAATCAGCTTCTGAAGGTATTATCTGTATTATCACCTATAAAATCCTTAATGGCATAGGAACTGGCTGACTTAATGCCTATCTTAATTGTTTCTTTCCACTGGTGAGATCAGGCAGAATGGAGACATTCCTGGTTCTTGAATAAAAGTGACATCTATCAGGACCCAGGAAGCATCCCTTCTCTTGATGCTGGACCTGCTCAAGGGAAGAGCATCCACCCAGAAGTTTGTGCGGCTCCCATTTGGGTAACATTCAGGAAGTCACTGAAAATTTGGCTTTCTTCAAGGCTATGGAAAGAGTTGTGGTTGATCTTTGTAGGACATTTTTCCTGTTACAGGATGTTTGCCTTCTGGACATTAGGGATTAAAAAAAAATTGATTAAGCCACCCAGAGTCATTTGAAGTTGGACAGTCTCTAAATTGTATGATTGATTGATAGATAGATAGATAGATAGATAGATAGATAGATAGATAGATAGATAGATAGATAGATAGATAGATAGATAGATAGATAGATAGATAGATAGATAGATAGATAGATAGACAGATAGACAGGTATGTAGGTTAGGATAAATTTAAATGCTAATCAACTTTAGGATGGCTCTGGAGTATTTAAATTCAATGAAAAAAAAAAGGACAAATCTTGAATAGAAATTCTAATGAGAAAGAACTTGCTTGTCCTTAGCAAAAGAATTGTTCCAATTTACATTTAGGACATCACAAAGTTTCCGCATCTTTCCTTTAACACAGTTTACCTCATTTACAGCACACATTCGTGCTATAGATCCAATGTTGTTGGTGATAGTAACCAAGGTTGCTCTAGCCAGGTCTTCTTTGCTGACAGACTCCCGTTTCTCTTTGTAGATCATATTCCCAAAGCTAGAAAAAAATTACAATGTTGATGTTCATCAAAAGGTATACAATAATACCTCTCCCTACCTGTGATAAGATGTACTTCTTTATAAAAGCTGCTTACAAAGCTTGAAAGGGCTCATGTCATGCTATAAATAAGAAACAATAACTGCTCAACAATCTTGGAACTTGAGGCTCAATACAGTTAAGCTAGATGGTGCACTGACAGAGATCATTATCTCTTTTGATGGATGGAAGTTTTTGTGAAAACCTGAAAAAAACAGGTTAGGGCCAGATTTTCAAGGAAAAAAATATCTATGTGGTCACTAAGAGTTGGCACATAATCAATTAATTAGGCAACAGAAAGCACCTGTGTACTTATAAAAATAAACTTGCAAAATTCCCCAATTAGAACTGATACTGATCTATATTCTTCCAGTTACAACTATGTACCTGTAGAAATGATTTGTCGTTTGGGAGATCAAGAATATTGTCAGAATGACAATATCTAAGTCTAGCCTATCAAAAGATGGTAGGATGGGAAAGGCTGGACACATCCCAGAGTCATTAAATGCTTCATAGTATTTAGATAAAAGTAGCAGACTTTATTTTGTGCCAACATTTTCAAATCACCTTTATTGATGAATCAGTTTAATGTTCTACCTAGTTTTGTTTTTCCCCTCTGGAAATAGCAGGAAATTGAATGACAGTGAATGTAAGCAGGCATTCTTGATTTTTAGAGAAAGAACAACTGAGTGCAGTCAAATATATATTTTAAACTTAACTACTCTGTTAAATACTTTGTGAAGAAGAAAAATGTTACCATATATCAAATAAAGGAAGAGCTATTGAATCTTCTGAAACCAAAAATTTGTGTGTTTCGGAAATTGTGAAAGGCATGTTCATCGGGCAGTACTGAAGCTTAAGTAGTAGAAACATGAAGAGGAAATAGTTCTTTGAGTTTAATTCTTCAGGACCAGATTAATTGCATCCTTGGACACTGAAGCAATTAATTGATAATCTGGCAACATGTCTTTCAACTGTATGATTCTTCTGTTTACTGCCAAGCAGTCATCTACCTATCACTGTTATCTAAAGAAAAACCTAATACAGCATAAATGTGCTAATTTTGTACTTTTTTTGTCAAGGAAAAAATAGATTTACAAAGTAGACATTAGGAATGGAAACCAATCTTAACTGTCAATAGAAAAGAACAAGAAGTTATTCTGAGTAACAAAGTCTTAAGTTTGTTAAGCACCAAAACTATAAATCAATCTTCTGTTGTTTTCTAAGCAAACACAGCTGAAAACCTCTTCAATCATATTAACATGGCTATGATTACAAAGGTATTACAAGATGCCAAGACATATATATTTTATTGTTTACCAGACATTATTTTATGGAATCTTCAACTGAAGTGCATATTTGAATTAATTTCAGTGGGCAAGGACTATTTGCGGGTTTGATGATAGAAGACAGTTTACAAGACTTTAATAGCAACAATTGGTTCTAGGCAGTTATAGAATTTTAATCAGATAACTATGGGGTATGATTTGATATGTGCCATCAAGTTCTTTTTCACCTTACCAATAGACAAATTTTCTCCCTGATGATCAGTTCCTAACCTGTTACAAGTCTCCCGATGGTGCATTCTTCATCACTGTAATCACTATCCACCTTAATAGAATAACAGAGTTGGAAGGGACATGGGAGGCTTCTAGTCCAATCCCTTGCTCAAACAGATCCTATACCCGTGGTGGTGAACCTATGGCACGCAGAGCCCTCTCTGTGGGCACGCGTGCCATTGCCCCAGTCCTAGGCCTTCAGCTGGGTTTTATAAAACCTTTTCGCTTTAGACCTTCACCGCCATGTGCAAAAAAAAAAAGAGGTTCAATCAATCAATCAATTTTAACTTCTCGCGGGAAAAAAAGATCTTGCAAAGTTGGAATTGATTGATTGAACTTTTTAGTCCCACCCAGTCTGCCATTACCACCGCAGCCATGCCCACCATATGGGTGGGCCACGCCTACTCAGTTGGCCACACCCACCCAATGGGCCACGCCCAATCGGCACCCGATGATACATAAGTGGGTTTTGGGTTGCAGTTTGGGCACTCGGTCTCTAAAAGGTTCACCATCACTGTCCTATACACTTCTATACAATTCTGGAAAAATAGTAGTCCCACCTCTTTTTAAAAGCCTCTAGTGATGGAGAACCCACAACTTCTGGAGGCCAGCTTTTCCACTGATTGTGCTAACTGTCAGAAAACTTCTCCATAGTTCTAGGTTGGATCACTCCTTAATAATTTTCCATACGTTGTTTCTTGTGTTGCCTTTAGGTGCTTTGGAGAATAGGCTGACCACCTCTGCTTGCTACTAAAGAACCTTGCTACTGATTGTCCTTTTCTTCTCTTTCCTTCCCCCTTTCCCAGCATTAATATTTTTCTCAAAAATTATGGGGAAGTAAATTTCACCTAAATGTCTTATCCAAATTTGCTCTATAAATTTTTATTAAGGAAAAATATTAAAAGATAATATATAATCTAATGGGTGGAGAGTATTATTAAAGCTAAGTCTTTCCATGCCACCAACATACTTTCCATTTCAAAAATGTATTAGTGCTCTATATTTCTCAGCTATTAATAATATAATGTAATATAATGGATATATTATTAATACATCACGTCAGGAATTCATGATCTGTGTTACTTTGCCATGCCTACCTAGATGCCACTGCCCATCCTGGTAAGCCAAACCGTTCATAGTCTCCCCCATAAATATCCCGGACTAGCTTGTCAGCTTGCGTGCTGTTGCCTTTGGATGCCATTTCTAGAGCTTCTTCAAAACTTTCACATCCGGTCAGTAAACTGCACAAACCAAGAAAGGTCCCGCCACCTAGACTGAACATGAAAAATTTGTAAAATTATACCTCTTAACTAATGCAATGATCATGTCTTACCTATTTAAAATTAGGAAAGAGATATAATATGATCAACTGAGAACTGAGGAAAGTATTTGTAAAGATATAAAACAGGAAGTGTATTTAATGAACCACCATATAATAAATACTTCAATTTCTATTACAGTCTGCTCCTTTACAAGGTACACATTATTCTGAATGTAACTGTTCCAGTTAAGATGTCTATCTGGAAACCAATTCACTGCAAGACTTTTAAGATGCTTGTCTATGCTTGACTAAGGGTAGTCAACTCACACCACAAATAAATTACTATGACCAAAGGATTAATCATCAGCAATTGGGACTTTCTTAATCTTGATGGCTTTCTTTCCTTTTTTTTTTTTAACCTATTATGATTTAAAAATCATTTATCTAATAATTATCAGGCCATAATGTTCTCAAAAATAAACCTGAGATGGCCATTCAATATATTTCATAAAGACATAAACATAAACACTCATGCTGTAAAATCGAAAGATATTTTGAAAAAGACATAGTTCTGAACTGACATATTATCTGAAAGATGGTTGAGAAAGTACAATATTATAAGCTTGGCATGCATTTATATGTGTACCTTGTTCCGGTCACTCTCTTGTAGTTGTCTTTGGAATGAACTGCTAAAATACTGACTCCTGAGCCAATGTTTACAACCAGCAAAGGGTATGGATCATCTAAGTTAAAAGGCATCTTTTGGCATCTTTCAGGTTCTGATGCATTTTCAAAATAGTAGCATTCTGCCTGGCCATTAAAACTGACAGAATCTATATACAGCAAGCCTTTGACGAGACAATCAAGTTCATCCAATTTGTGCAGCTGAAGGTCTCCAATCTCCAAAAAGAAGAGAAACATTGATTAGCATAACATGTTCCTGAACAAAACGTAAGAGGCTACAGGCATCTGATCTTTCATTCTAGACCATCTTTCTAGCATTGTTGTAAAATTTGATGGAGCTATACTGGAAGCTATAATTCAGGAGCCAATTTGGGCTAGAGTTTTAAGGTGCTGGCCTAAAAACTAGGCGACTATAAATTCTAGTCCCGCCTTAGGCATGAAGGACAACTGAGGAGCTTTGGGCCAACTTTGTTGTGGAGAAAATAGGTAGGAGGAAGGAGTATTGTTTATGTTCATTGCCTTGAGGTATTTATAAAAATAATAAAGATAGGATGAAAATATTTTTTAAAAAATTTTGGACAGTCTGATTGATAGACTTGATATATTGATATATTAGAGAGCCCCCGTTTCATTTCCACTGTATCAGTAATACTATCTTGACCACAGCTAACCCTTTTGTAAAAATGTTAGAATATTTTTTCTTTTTTTAAAAAAAAAATGACTTTAGATTGCTGAAGCTGATGAAAGTGTTCTATTACAACATACTGGAGCAGAGGTTGTTGTAGACATAATATGTTGCTCATGACAATTGGTAAGATATATGTGCCACTCAGTTCACATGCCCAGCAATTATCTAAATTTGTCTGATTGCCTTCCTTCTTTGCACGTAATAATTGGAATTGCTGGCTGTTAAACAAAGAAAATGTCAAAAGGGTTGTGAACAAGGCAAGGCCCAATATACCTGCATACTACAAATCCTATCTATGTCATCATTTCTTAATATATATTTTTTGCTGTAAGACTTAAAAGAACAATCAGGAGAAATCTTGCCAGCTCTTTTGTGCAGGATTTGAAAGAAAACAAGGAGTTATTTAGGAAGTTATTCCTGCCTACATACAATTAGTACCATGCAGTGATTCTTCAGCAGTCAAATTCCAAAGTACAAATCCAGAGATCTCTTTGCCCTTATCAGATTCTTGTCTTATGAAAAAGAGACAATTGCCCTGGTGGCACAGTGGTTAAAGGGCAATATTGCAGGAAAACTCTGCCCATAGTCTGGAATTTGATCCTGACAGGACTCAAGGTTCACTCAACTTTCTATCCTTCAGAGGTAAAATGAGGACCCAGACTGTTGGGAGCGATATGCAAATAATGATGACATTGAAACCGCCCAGTGAGTGCTGTAAAGCGCTATGGGACGGTATATAAGCCTAAATGCTAACTAAATGCTAACTAAATGCTAAATTCAACACAGGTTGAATTTATCGTCACAATCAGTATATATATATTCTGTCAATCGGAATGAGAACATGCAACTGAACTACCTACTGTGCGAAAATCTTCTTCAAATTTATAAGCACCACCACCAGTGGCACAAAGCACCGTATGTAGTGTGGAAAAGTTTTTATTTCTTCCCATTTGAATAAAAGTAGGCAAGTCATGCGTTGGGAATCTGATAAAGTGCAAATTTCCCTTTCGTCCAAAGAGTGTCAAGTCTTTAAGTTCAAGGTGGACATCTCGAATACCAGTGGACCCATAGGCCACATTTGATGTTAAATATTTGCGAATACTCTTCAGACTTTCAACCTCTTCCTGCTCTTCTTCTGCCGTAATATCTATAGGTTCAAAATATGCAAGTTTCACTAGCGTTCCACCAATATCCATTCCAAACCATGGAAAAGCTGTGGAGAGAGAAAGAGAGAGAGAAAGAAAGCTTTATTGTTAGAAATACCAAATATTATTTTATTTGCGAGGCCTCTTTATTTTGTTAAACAATGAAAATTGTTTGGTGTTATTAAAAACTCTCATAAGAGCAGAGGACAAGTTCACTTCTATGTGTTTCCACTGATTCCATATATAATAAGGATTTTGTTACATAATATATAATATGTGACAGCTTTGTTTAAATTCTATTATCTCCAATAGCATGTTCAAGTATGCATATGTAAATATGTGTATATTTACATAAGCATACTTGAACATACTAAGAACAAAAGCACTTATGAGCGCTTCATTGTGTTTTCAAAAGCAGCTATTTAAATTACTCAAGCATCAGTGAGTTGAAGCCAGGGTCAGCCACAATACTTTCAGAACAGTTTAAGCACTTGAAAACATTAGATGAAAATGTTTGGGTACAGATTTGATATTGTTTTAAAATAGTACTTTGCAACAGGATGATTCATTTGAAGAGGCAGTAAAACAGGGATTCCCAAATTGTAAGATGTACCTCTCCTGGGGAAGTGGAAACAGAATCAAAGGGAGATGTAAAGCATCTTTTAGTTGCATATTGTTACAACAAATTCACCCTTCTCTAGTTCATTTATGTTTAGTTTAGTGTATTAATTTTTAGGGGAGGAGTGGAATTCCTGCTTTAAAGCTTTTTACATGCTTCATAAATTATAATCAAGATGTTACAATTCGTGCTTGAAGCAAATAGTGGAACATAAGTCACCCGTTTATAACTTTTTATTATTCTGCAATAAAGTTAAATGAGCTACGAAAACTTAGAACATTTTTTCTGCCAACAGAGCAGTAATAATTTTCAGCCTTAAAAAAATGAACAACCACATATTTGAAGTTAGATTTTATGGAATTTGTTGGGAAACATGAGTTTGAATTATTCTAAATGTGATTATAGAAGCAAGTTAGATCTTTTAGTTTCAGAAAACTTTCTCTAGGTACATTTTCATTTGAAGGTCTTAAATCTTCCACAGTATCTTTTTTGTTGTTATGGAAGCAGAATTTTCATTAACACAATTTCAGGGAGACCTTATTTCTTTCACAGTCCTGCATTTGAAGGGGTCTGTCTTAATTTTAATCATTAGGAAGGGAAAGCAGTAACCTTGAAGGTGGCCATCAACATTTTGTTCCCAGACCTCAGATAGAGATGGCACTGTGTAACCAAGGAGTACTATTTCACAATATGCTGAGGTATATTTTAATACAAAAGCCGTCTTGTTAAAACAGATTATGCATGTACAGCAGGTTTTTCAATCATGTTGTACACTTTGTTCCAACAAATCAGAAAGTATTTTATCCATGCAAATATGACAAGAATATACTGTACTGCATCCCAAACTGAGGAATACAATTACATATATATATAATCTACAAATGTTAAAGTGTTAAATTATTTACTTCCCTTTTTTTGGTAGTTTCCATCTATAGAAATAAAAAAAAATACTAGTATATTTTCAAATTTTAAAAAAATGTTTAGGGATAGGGCATATTCTTATTAGGTTACCAAATGCAATACTTTGTTTTAGTTCAGCTTAAGTAGTCTTGTATAAATATTTTCATGTCAAGACAAACAGCAAGAGGCATGTCACTTTTACAGGTGTTCTGAAAAAGCAAAGTTTTATTTAGGAAACTGTATTTCCAAGGGGCTGCAATTCTGGCATTGAGTGCTGTGTACTGCGGGGCAGTATATAAGCCTAAATGCCCTTGCTATTGTAAACATTTGTAACATATATAATCAATTCCTCTCCATCAGGAATTTAGTTTCCTACATCCATGCAACTAGTCAAAAGAAAATACTGATTTTTCTCAAAAATTGGAGGATCGGAGGACACAGCTTACTTATGCTTTGACTATAAAAACGTTTTTTTTTCTCAGTACTAAATTAAACAGAATCAGTGGGACTTACTTTCAAGGATGCCAATATGCACTTGGTGCACTTTTGCTTAACTACTAGTAAATGCCTATGCTACATACACACACACACACAAAAACACACACACACACACAAAAACACACACACACACAATCCAGTCATTTCTAATACAAACAGAAGCAGAAAACCCTATATAGAAGCTACCTGGAAACATCCAACATTTACTACAGTTCAGAGATACCCATTTCTTTTTAAAAGCAAAAGGCAAAAAGGCCAAAAGGCAAGGCGTCTCCGAAAGAGAGAAAGGATCTTACATGGTTTTTTGGCATCTTTGATCTTCATCTCTCCGCAGTTGCCTTTGCGTGGGCAACTTCGCTCGGGCGCAGGCTTTCGCGTCTCGATGTTACTCGAGGAGGAGGAGGAGGAGGAGAGAGGAGGCTCCGGGCTAAAGTTGCGGGCGCGCCGGCTTCGCTGCTTGTGGTTTCGGCGCGTGCCGGCAGGCGGCTGAGGTGGCGCGCGTGTGCGCGTGCGCGCCGGCCTGACAGCAACGGCTCAAGGAGAGGCGCTGGGAGCGGAGGGAGGAGGAGGCGGAGGCGGAGGCGGCGGCAGCCCAGGTCGGGCCAGGCTGGGCAGAGGCCGGCGGTACCGTTGGCGCGACACCTTACTCTCCGAGAAGCAGCGCTTTCAGTCGCGCCGTCCCTCTGGAGCCGAGCGGGCAGAAGGCAGGATCCCCACCGAGCCGGCCCCACCCACACGCGGCCCCGCCCGCCCTCCCTGTCCTCCCCCTGAGGGCCGCCTTGCTCACATCGACGGCGGCGGGGGGAAGGGCCTCCGGCTGAGCAAATCCGCGGCTCCGAGGAACCCCGGCCGACGTCTGCCGCTGGATGCCGCAACGCCACCTCCCTGCGCCTCCTCCTCCTCCCCCTCCTTCCTCCTTCCTCCTCCCCCTCCGCTCCAGGCAGCAGGGCGCAAGGGCCGATGGGAAGTGAGCAGGGCTCTGCCGCTCCTACAAGTCCCAGAGTGCACCGAGCGATTCCATCCCCTTTCCCCCAGCGTTCGGCGGGCCAGAAGCATGCAGGGAAGCGTAGTAGCGCGACGGTCCAAAGGAGACCGTCTAGCCTGCTATTTCCCGTCTGGCGAAGCAACGATGCTCCCCGCGTAGCCTGGCGGCGAGATCCACCCCACTCACCCCACAGGAAACAAGCCAATGGACGGGCAGCGGCTCTCCTCGCTCCGCCCTCCCAGGTGTGATCGGGGCGGAGGAAGAGGAGAAGCCCTAGATGGGCGGCCCGTGGGGGGGTGGGCGTAAGGGAGAAAGGGGTTCAGAGCATATAATGTCCTTCTGGGGAGGAATGAAGAGACTGCCATGCCCAGTTCCTCTTAGCTTGGACTGGGAAAGCTCTTAAATGCATGGAAAAAGGGCTAAAAGAATCTAGAAGTTTAGACTCTTGCGCAAAGCATGGCTGGAAAATTCGACCGCGACTTGGAAGTATTTTTGTCAAGCGGAATTTCTGTTCAGCCCAGTGGAAATTGTGTAAAACTAAGAACCAGCACGAGGACAGAATGACACATAACGTCAAAGAGGTAGCTAAGTTGCGTAAGACTACTGAGGGAAAGCTAGTATAAAAGGCAATTATTGCATCATCTCACATAGACAGGAAAAGCACACCAAATAGATCAGTGGTTCTCAACCTTTTTAATGCGGCGACCCCAACTGGTCGTAAGTCAAGGACTAAACCGGTCGTATGTCGAGGACTAAACCGGTCGTAAGTCGAGGACTAAACCGGTCGTAAGTCGAGGACTACCCAACCGGTCATAAGTTGAGGACTTTCCCTGTCCGGGAGCGCCACGCATGCGTGGTTCCGCCCCCTGCGCCGGCAGAGGCGTAGCTGGCAAGCGGCAGAGACAGAGCAGGCCGACCACCAGCTGGCCCAGCCCAAGGGAGGTAAGGCACCCGCCGGAAAAGGGGAAAAAAATGGCGGACAAAAAAAATGGCGGACAGCCTTGCTTGGCGACCCCCGTGAAATGGTCGATCGACCCCAAATGGGGTCCCGACCCACAGGCTGAGAACCACTGAAATAGATGGATGCTTCCTAAACGGGCTTTGGATTGTCCAGTAGAAGGAAATGTAGTAGTGAGTGATGAAATTAGTAGAACAAAGTAATAACTGTAAATTGCAGAAGTTGAACGTTTGGACTACTTTGTCAGTTGGCTTGCAATTAGTCAATTGAAGCATGTATTTTTGTTCAAGCTACCAAGATAATAGAATAACAGTTGGAAGGGTGGAATGTCTTATCTAATCCTCTGCTTAAGCAGGAGATCCTATACTGTTTCAGATAAATGGTTGACCAATCTCTTAAAAATCTCCAGTGATGGAGCATCCACAACTTCTGAAGGCAAAATGAACAAACAGCAAAATGTATGCAATTTCCATTTTGTTACAATGTCCTTTTTAGATTTCTTCAATGTTTTGACCTTCCCCTGTTCTGCTATTTTAATAGTGACTTTCCATCAGCCTCTACGTTCTGCATCAGCTTGCATCACAGGGAGATTGAGCATCAAAGTTCTCTGATCAGTTTGTTCCACAAAGATTTTTATTGCTGCACTTGAACATACAGGTCTTTGACCTTTGCAGATTGTGAAACATTTCTGAATATACAGTATATATATATATATATAATCTGCTTCAAACATCACATATCGTGATCAGTTAAGCAACGAATCTCTTAGTTAACAGCCTTTGCTTTCCTATTAGCTCACCAACTGTAGTACTTTGATGCAATTGGGGAGTGTCTAATCATTATTTTATGGACTCCTTATTCTGTTACTTATTTTGAAAGACAACCACTGCATTTCATTTTCCATCTGCCTGAAAATATCCCGAAAATCTATTTCAGAATATTGGAATTAAAATGAAGAGACTTAAGCATTTTCAAACTTCTCAGCAGCTTTTGATACAATTGACCATGGCATCTTATTAAGTGGCCATGTGGTGTTGTATTGGTTCTATTCCTTTCTGTGGAGCTATTCCCCAAAAGTAGTTCTGGACAATACTGTCCCTGCAGTGTTAAACTGCAGATCCATAGGATCTAATCCCATCTTATTTAATATCTATAGATGTAGAAAAGCAGGTCAGCAGATTAAATCGCTAATAGATTCAAACCAAATCTTTAAGATGGGCAGATTGTCCTTACAATAACAGCCCTAAATACTGATTACCTGCTTATAAAACCCTAACTGGTTCTGGATATCAATATCTGAGAGACTACAAAATGGCCAGTACTGGGCGAAGCAACCTGAACTGCTGTGGCTGTATCTTGCAAGAGGCTGTACAGGCATTAATGGGTCTTCTCCACAGCCCCTCGTTTTGGATTTTTTTTAAAAAAAAGGCTAAAGACTAGCTTGTTTATTTTGGTATTTCCTGAAACTTGAATTCAATTTGGCCAGAAGTGTAAGAATGGCTAATGTTTAAAATTCTACTGATGTTGTGTGATTTTATAGTAGACTCCAGCTCAAAAATCATCAGATAGTAGCTCAGGGTATATATCTAATACAGTGGTTCTCAACCTTTTTAATGCCGCGACCCCAACCGGTTGTAAGTCGAGGACTAAACCGGTCGTATGTCGAGGACTAAACCAGTCGTAAGTCGAGGACTAAACCGGTCGTAAGTCGAGGACTGCCCAACCGGTCGTAAGTCGAGGACTTTCCCTGCCCGGGAGCGCCGCGCATGCGTGGTTCCGCCCCCTGTGCCGGCCAAGGCGTAGCTGGCAAGCGGCAGAGACGGAGCAGGCCGACCACCAGCTGGCCCAGCCCAAGGGAGGTAAGGCACCCGCCGGAAAAGGGGAAAAAAATGGCGGACAAAAAAAATGGCGGACAGCCTTGCTTGGCAACCCCTGTGAAATGGTCGATCGACCCCAAATGGGGTCCTGACCCACAGGTTGAGAACCACTGATCTAATAAAAGCAAGCAAGGCTGCTATTGAGCACAACTTGCTACTATCTGCACTATCAGTACTTGTTCTCTTTGGCAATAATATTCTTACTCTGTGATTTTCATAGCCTGTGCTAGGAAGGTAATTATATTAATCATATGTGCGATAAGGTTTATATTAGGTTATATATTAACATGATATTTATTTAGATTATTATCTTACACAATTATATTATGCTTTAACTTCTCATAAAAGTTACAATGGTATTCAAACAGCTTCCCGATCTAGTGCTAGTTGGCAGTATTCCTAGAAGCAGAAAGCCAAGTGGAATGAGAATTAGGTTATAAATATGGAAAGTTCAAGAAATTGTTGAGATGACTAAATACAGGCTGAATTGAAAAACAGGTGGAATATCTGATGCCTCAAATAATATATGCAGCTGTGTGCAGAATGTACTAATGTTTACTCTTGTGTACAAATATTGAGATCTGAAAACCTGTAATTTTCAGTCAGTGGGGAGATGTCCTAGAAAACTACAAGTACGTACTTGTGTGTTGGGTTCTTAGTGGGTTTACGTGCTGTGCTAAGGGCTCACAAAATAGCTGAGTTAGTATTGTACTACGCTACTGGCCAGCTAACAGCTGATTTGGAGATCAAACTGAATTCAGCATTCAGTGATGGCAAAACAACAGGGAAAGATCGAGAAAATACTAGGAAGAAAGAATGGAGCATTGAAGCAGAAGAGTAAGAGAAGTTGCTGTAACAGGATCAGTGAGCTATTGAGAAGCAGCATGGTTTGGGATTGCTTAATTTCCTACCATGCCATGCTGGACTGGAGTCTTGAGTAACTTTTATGTGGGACACGGGTAACGGGGGTGGAGTTGGTGAAGATGTCTGCTTGGCTAAGAGATCCAACTTTCAATCTGAATATAAAAGAGTAATATTAGGTAGAAAATGAACTTTGGTTGTGTTACGTTACCTAATTATTGTTATACTTTTTTATCCAATCTCTATTTTTGATCAGCTCAAAGCAGCATGCCTACCCAATGTGCCTAGCTTCTAAGGTATTGTGTGTAAAGGTGGTTGGGCTGAAAGATATAATTGGCCCAAATTCTCCAGCTGCCTTCCATGGCTAAGAGTGGACTAGAATTCACACTCTCCTGCTTTCTAGTCCAGCACCTTAACCATTATACCAACTGCAATTTATTATTATTATATATTTGGGAGGTAGGAGCTGTGAAAGTTGTGCAAACCCCACTGGTTCCGTGTGATGTGTGTGTCAATAAAATACATTAATTCAGTATGGACAAATACAGTAATCCTTCTGAATCCTTTGAATTATCCTTGTTATTATGTCATCTATAGTATACTATACTTTTCACCACTATACTACAACCAGGAGAAAAGCTGTGAATTTTTGGTTTCTTCCTGTTATCAGACAATATTAGGGTTTTTT